TCTCTCTCTCTCTCTCTCTCTCTCTCTCTCTCTCTCTCTCTCTCTCTCTCTCTCTCTCTCTCTCTCTCTCTCTCTCTCTCTCTCTCTCTCTCTCTCTCTCTCTCTCTCTCTCTCTCTCTCTCTCTCTCTCTCTCTCTCTCTCTCTCTCTCTCTCTCTCTCTCTCTCTCTCTCTCTCTCTCTCTTTCGGCAGCACACCCCACCGACATGAATGTGTGGGCGCAAGATCGGGCGGCTGGCGCTGATCATGAGCCGCACATGCAGGGACTGGGGCAGTTAGGACTTGCCTTTCAGAACCAATACCCGGGTCTTGCACTGCACATGGGGCCCCAGCAGCAGGATGCTGTTGCTCAAGTGTCAAAAGCCAACGCCGAGCTGCTGCAAGAAACGGCCGCACACGCTCGACTTCTTGAGGTTGGTGGGGCTCCGACCCCTCGGGAAGAACGCAGAAGCAGAAAACCATGCTCACCGCCTGCTCTTACTCCCATCGCGCTTGCCCTGCCCCCCGTGCGCAAATGCTGCCGCGTGATATGCGCGCGCGATCTAACAGGCACAACGTCAGTTGGAGCTAATGCAGCTGTTGGACTCGAGTGCTGACTGGCTCTTGACATCAACCTTGGGTGCGTGATGATTATTGGCTCCTCTCCATGATTCCTTTTCAGCTCGGTTCCCTTCTTCCTTCTTGTCCTTGCCCATCCATTCGTTGACTGAAACTTCTCCATGCGCCTTGATGGTTTTCATGGTGATGGGTTTCGATGAGATAGAGCACAAGCTTGTGTTGGCCACAGAGCTAAACCACGATTTAACCATGTTACAAGCCAATGTGCAAAAACTGCTCGACTACTTGCACCCTGAACGCCGATCCAGCCCCCACAAGCAAGCACAACGTCAAGTTTTGCCCATCCACCGCCAACATCAGCAGTACGATCGTGTCGTCCAACGCCCCGGTGCCTGGTGTCGGCTCAGTTCCATGTGGACTTGAGGCGCTCAAGTCAATTTGTGCGGGTGATTCGTATCGATTTCCCCTTTCATTGATGTGGCTACACCCTGCTGTGCCGCGATGGGGTCTTGGTTATAAAACTAGAACTTTTTTACACTTGGTTCAAGGCGCATGCGATGCGTACCAGCAGCTGAGCCACGTTTTCCACGCGTGTCTCGCTGCCACGGACATCTATGAGCATCAGGTGCGTGCGCAGGCACCAGTGCTACCCAGCATTGGCGTGGTGTATGCGTGTGCAAAGAAGTGACAAACTCACGCGCCCACATTTGACCCAACGGAACTGGACTAGGTTCGTGAGCATATGGGAGCCCTGCAAATTGAGGAGCAGCTCGCTGCTGGCGAACAACAGCTGCATCGTCTTGTCCAAGCCTTTGGTCAGACCCTGCAGGCTTCAAACCCCCTTCGCTAACATGAGGTGGACTGACATATCACCAGCGCCTGCCCCCCACGACTGCTCCTGCTTTTCCGACTGGAATGGACATGACGGCGAGAAGCTGAGCTTCCGCTTAAATTGAATTGCACTCACTCCCATTTTTTTTTCTACCACTCGAGCTGAGGGCTGAGCGATTGCGCTCTTGGCTGCTGTTGCAACCCTCACTCATACACGTCGCACATGCATTCCCCCACGACACATTGAACAAGCTTTGAGCAAGCTTCTTCCAATAAACCTCCCCCAAGTCATCACACACACACACACACACACACACACACACACACACACACACACAAACAAGTTTTTGGACTTTTCTCTCTCTCTCTTAAATTGTCAGCATGACGAGCACGATGCTGCGCCGGGTGGTGGCAGGAGGAGGAGGCGGTGTGGTTCAGCGGTGGCTGGATGGAGCTTCCAGGAGGGGGGGGTTGCTGATGGCGCTGGGGGGCGGGAGTGATCGGCCGCAGCTGCGATGGTATGCGCGAACTGAAGAGGAAATGCGGGCTTTTGAGAAGCGGCGGACCGAGCGACAGCAGCGCGGTGAGGGCTACTAGCGCGCCGTCATCCTGCTGTCACATCACGCCCTTGTGACTTGAAGTGCCTAATGCCTCTCTTGGTTCCATAGGTTTGCCCACCAAGCAAGCCCTTCCCTCCGTCAAGCACGTGGTCTTGGTCTCCTCGGCCAAGGGCGGTGTGGGCAAGTCCACGACCGCCGTCAACCTCGCCGTGGCCCTGACCCAGCTTCCTGAGGTCGGTGAATGAGCGCCGAGCGCACGCCCCTCCCTTCCCTCCTCTCCTCATCAAGTCCCGCCTGCCCTTCTTGACTCACTTCACCACTTGTTGGTGTATCGCAAAGGAAGTCGCCGGGCGGCAGCTGCGTATCGGCCTGCTGGATGCGGACGTCTTTGGCCCCAGCTTACCCATTATGATGAATCTGGAAGGTGAACAACCTGCCGTGGATGAGCAAAAGTTGATACTGCCCATTGAAAACTACGGCCTCCAGTGGTTGGTGCACTCTCTCGAGCCTGCGCGTCTTCTTGAGGCTTTCCCATGCCCCCACACAGCTCGTCCACAAGACCCACTCATGTAACAAACCTCTGTGCGCTGCCAGCATGTCCATGGGCTTCCTGGTCAACAAGGAAGACGCCATGATCTGGCGAGGCCTGATGGTCATTAGCGCCATGAAACGTCTCCTGCATGGGGTCCGCTGGCAGGATCTCGACGTCCTCGTCGTGGACATGCCCCCTGGCACAGGCGACACCCAGCTCTCCATCTCACAGGAAATCCCAGTCTCTGGGGCCGTAATCGTCTCAACCCCTCAAGACGTGGCTTTGGCTGACGCACGCCGGTCAGCAAGGCACTTGACCATGTTACGCTAAGCGCCCTGATAAAACGTTCCCACCTCCTCGTGCCTCACGTCCGGTCATCCGTTTGTACTCGGTAGAGGTGTGACCATGTTCCGCAAGGTTGGTGTACCCGTGCTTGGAATGGTACAAAACATGTCCTACTTTACTTGCCCCAACTGCGAAGTAAGCGCTCGTCCCAGCCGAGTAAATCAAGAAGAGGCACAGGTCTGACCAGGTGGCTGCATGGCCCCGGCGTACCTGAGCAAGCTCTTCAACACCTGGCTTTGTCATCGGGTGTGGAAAGCATTTATGGCTGACCCGGTTCCGATGTGTCATTAGGAAAAGCACTGGTTATTTGGGGACGATGGCGCCGCGCGCCTGGCCAAAGAACTCGACGTTGATGTACTTGGTAGGCATCTTTAAGGAGCTGGCCACAGCTCGCCTTTTGGGCTGCTCACTGATCACCCGGTTTTACCTGCCCTAGCCAACGTCCCCATCCTGCCCGCGCTACGACAGGCCTGCGATACAGGCCGGCCCGTCGCACTTGATTCTTCGAGTCCATTGGTGAGCCTCTGCGCTCCCTTCGGTTTGGCCTTTGATCCTTCCTGTGCAATCGTGATCGTTGTTTCACCTGCCCATGCTTGGCCGACGCGTCTGTGTCCAGCGAACTGAGTACATCAACTTGGCGCAACACGTCTGGACTCGCCTTCAAGATGCAGCTCTGCATGACCTGGGAGAGGAGGAGAAAAATTAACGTAGATTGACCCGGGCATCCTGATGACCTCGCTGCTTTTCTCCCGCTCTCCGTCTTCCCGATCCTTGCTCAGTCCCGTCCGGTTGCCATGCTTGTGCTTGGCGATGTCCTTCTTTTTTTTTCTTTCTTTTTTTTGGCGTCTTTGATTGCTTAGCCTTGATTGGTGCCGTCGATTTTTATTTTTATTTTTTTATTTTTTTTTTTGGTTTTGCTATGACTCTCTACAAACCTTCAGTCGTGGCTACGCCATCGGAGGCTTGATGGGTTCTACACACAGTTGGCCCGAGATCAACGGCACGCATGCTTGGCGTTGTTGGTGGCGCTGACCAATGGCATGAACTGGGGAGTCGGAACGTACATGGGGATGCCAAGATCACTCAGCACTTCGTCCAAATCGTCTTGGCGCTCTTGTCGACGCAGCTCAGCCTCTTCCTCACGCCGCCGGCGTTGGTCTTCAAGATTTTTCAGACGGCTTTGTCCCTTGCGGGTGTGGGAGAGTGTGGAGGCCGCAGCGTCCGTTGCCGGCTGCATCTCCATCTGATCAACCTCCTCGTCTTCGTCGTCGCTGTCGTCCTACAGGGTTGACACCATGAAAATCTGTGATATACAAGCAAAAGGGACGGTCCCAGGAGGGTGGCGCCAACTCTACCTTGGACAAGCGCACATATTCGTTTTGGGCGCTTGGCGAGAAGGTCATGCTACCGATTAAGACACAAGGGAACCGATGAGAGCTAGCGGACGTGCCATGTGTTTTTGATTCTCTTGGTCGTGTCCGGTTCCAAAACAGATTGCGGAGAATGGGTAGCAAAACGGACCCCGTCATGATGTAAAAGACCAGCGTCGTCAACTCCTCGATCAGAGCCGCAAGCCAAATGAGGCGGAAGGGTAACATGCGCTCCACAAGATACGCCAAGACCCGAGTCACTGACAAAAGGGGACATGACAACAGCGTGAGAAAGCGGGTCCAGAAGAACTGAGTTTTGATGACTGCGCGCATGCAATCGCCAGCCGTACCGTAGATGTAAAGCAGGACAAGGATGTAGTAGCGGCGGAAAAGGTGCAGCTTGCGCAGCGACAGTGCTGCTTTGCCATCCACTGCAGCCGAGTCGCGCAGATGACGGATGGACCACAAAACAGGTACCAAAACGGCTACGCAGCACACCAGGTCAAGAAGCAGGCCCAGTCCACGCCAAAAGCTATACACAACACACATTGGTTTAGCAGGGGCATGCGTGATTTTTTAAGCCGCAGGTCAGTCGGTGTTAGGAATGCACAGCTGGCAGAAAGAAGCTTGACATACTCGCGAGCAGAGGAACCAATGTCAGCCTCTTCGAGTACAATCTGCGCCGTGTTGACCAAAACTTGAATGGCTAGCACGCCAACGATGAAATACTTTTCATAGGTCACGAGAACGTGCTTGATGAGACCGTAGCCCGCGCCAACCAGCAACACGGTCAAGAACAACAGCATGCCCTACGTCGATAATCGTAGCAAAGACCAAATTTCAGATCAGTGGGATGTCAGGGTGAGTGAGAGGGAAAGCAGCGCAGTAGAAAGCGAGCACCAATGCCCGACCTTGGCAAAATTTAGGATATAATAGGTGATGGCCCAGCCCTCCTCAGGCGTGCCGTGTTTAGAGATGACGCTGTAGTCGATGGCCCGAAACATGTCAGCCATGAACTGGAGAAGCATCGTGGAATGGAAAATGGGAGAGGTGACAGGCAGATGAGAAGACAATCGGGGACAGGGACAGCGATGTGTAAGCAAAAGAGGCGCAAGAGCGTGGCGAGCTCGCATGCAAGGCAGACCTTGAAAAAGACCAGTGCCAACATGAGATAGTGGATCTTGAAAAGATATTGCGAATCGCGATGATGATACAGCACTGAAGCCCACGCAATGGTGGCGAAGCCGAAGATGATGGCCCCGGAAATGAAAACAGCCGGGAGTCCGCTGCGGCCAGCCCCGAGATACTCATTGCCATGATTCACCTCTACAATCTCAAGCTGAACCCAACATGCTATTACCGTGAGGAGCCCTCACCACCAGACATCGGGTGCATCAAACCATGGGAGCTGCCTCATGCCATGTCCCACTGGTGGGTTTGTCTTACGTCCAAATCAAAACCTGGGGCAAGGATGCCGCACCCCACAAAGCTGATGCTGTAAAAGTCCTCGGCAGCGGCACTTGACAGCGTAATCGAGACCTTGAACATGATGAAAACCGAACATGAATGATGCAGGGTGAGCAACCGAGGGAAGGACACCCGCACAGCATGCCAAAACAGAAAGCGTGGGCGAAAACTCTGTTTGGTACCTGTGACCAGGACCGGTTCGAAGTGTCCAGGTACTCGTTAATAAACGTCGTGTTGACACCCGTGAGTCCAAAGTCCCCTTCTTCAAGCAGCCTGTCCAAGACATGAACAAGTGCGGTCAGTGAAGCTTGAGGGCCAAGCAAGTTTGTGATGAGGAGCGCGAGCAGGCGGCAGACTTGCGTGTGAGAGGAAGTGTTGGTTGGATGAACCAGGATACGATAATTGTTGTCCCCCGGGTCATCCTGCGTCAAGAAACAGCCTCCAAAGGCATCGAGGTTCTGTGCAACAGTGACACGTGAGTGGAGAGAGTCTCAGAAGAACTTGGGACGCCAGCTTGAACGGGACTGCAAAAAAACCGACCACATCATATTGAATGGATTCTTGATTGGCACGGTGGACCACAAATCCAATTTGCGTGCCTTGCGGATGAGCAATCTTGAGCTAAGAATGCGTATTGAGATGTTACACACCAAACGTGAGACCCTCCAATGCTCAAAAACGGTATGACCAGGCGAATAAATGGATAGGAGTACAGGTTTCGCACATTTCGAACACGAAGGTCGATGCGGCCATCCTGGAGCAGGCCGAAGGAGGAGATGACAAAATGCGAGCGCACTTCGTGACGCAGTTTCAACTGATGGCGTCGACCCGTGCCTGTCCACAGATGCCACCGCCCAGGGCGCAGTGTGAGGGCGATCCACGCGCAATGCAGCAAGGCTCGGCTGAGAGAGAGAGAGAGAGAGAGAGGTCACCCTTCAGCAAAGATGCGGGAATAGAACAAACATTCTGAAGTAAGGGTCAGCAAGACGAGGGCCAGAAGCGCAAGCCGTGATAGCCGGCCGGGAAAACGAGGCGCTGTCATGACGCCGGTCACTCAAAGCCTGCCACAGCAGCCGATCAGGCGTGAGCACGAACGACAAGCGGTCTTTTTCCCCAACGAGGGGATCTGTTCACTGCCACCCATTGCCCTAGGCTGTCCCTCCCTTTCTCCAGCAGAACACATGGATATCCTACACAAGGCAGGTGTACGTGCATGCCACGGCACGGCACGTCGCAAGCGTGTCCTTGACCACAGACACATACCAAGCCCTTGTCGTAACCTGCTGCCACTTTGCATGCAACCACCTGACAAGAAAAAAAATAACTGCGTGTGTGTGTGTGTGTGTGTGTGTGTGTGTGTGTGTGTGTGTGTGTGTGTGTGTGTGTGTGTGTGTGTGTGTGTGTGTGTGTGTGTGTGTGTGTGTGTGTGTGTGTGTGTGTGTGTGTGTGTGTGTGTGTGTGTGTGTGTGTGTGTGTGTGTGTGTGTGTGTGTGTGTGTGTGTGTGTGTGTGTGTGTGTGTGTGTGTGTGTGTGTGTGTGTATGTGTGTGTGCGGTGTCATTCCAAGGTCTTTGACGAGTAAGTGTGATGCCGATTGCACTTTTGAAGGAGAGAGGGAAATCCAAAAGTGTGTTCGTTATGGGCAAACGGGTGCGACTGCACCACGCAACAGCAGCACCACACCACCGGCACGCCATCACCACACGCCATCAACATATCACACACCACCAGCGCCACCGACAAGCGACCAGCGCCTGACAGATGTAGGCAGTAGGTAAAAGGAGGTTGACCAGTATGGCGCTCTCTTTTAAGTTCGGGAAATTTTTCGGATGTCGGCAGATGGACGTGAGAAGACCCGCTTCCCGCCGTATTTTTTTCCGCCAACTTTTAAGCCCACCAATGGGTTTCAACCTTTGAGATGGAGCTATCAGCAGATGACAAGGTCGTGAAAAAACTGCTTCACATCTTCGACAGCCAAAATACTGTTGGTTGCCAGCTCAAAATAGTTGGCGAGCTCGATCACCATACGATCGAAACCCCCCAGCCTATGAAACCATCACACGCCCCGCCCAGAAGATCAGGACCTATCCATGAGTGTCGCTGCAGGGCAGCACATAAGAACCTGGCGGCTGGTGACGTACCGGCGCACGTTTTGAAAAACGCGCAGCAATGAACGCACATGAGCGCGAAACAGTTCCTCCTCTGCATCAAAACAGTTTTATATGCCACGATCAGCACTCATCAAACCGTTCCAAGCATCGACCACACCCCGATTGGCTTGCTGCCTCTGATCAAACCATTCTCCCTTTGATTCAGAGGACAGTTTATCCCTTGCTTCAGCACCACATACCTTCTAAAAGCAGATCACTGGTCAAGTCAGGCTGCTCACAAAATCGTCCTGGAGAGCAATGCACAACCACAGAGTGAGCTCGTCCTTGGAGTTAGCTGACGCCGATGAAGATGCATTTCACTGCTTCCCATGCCTTTTTCCCATTCAGAAGAAACAAGAGATTCGTCAGCACGCACCTTCAGGCTCAGTCACTGAGCCGACATGAAGGTAACGATTCTGCAACAGCGTCCAGTCGACAAACTCGGCCGTGGTCATGTCCAACTGCAAGGACTGTGCGTCACAAATGCAAACAAAGCACACACAAAAATGAGAGACCCCTGCCCTTCAGCATAGGCCTGCCTCCATGCAAAACCTACCGCAATTAAAGACTGCAGCGAGAGACGAAGTGCGGCCAGTTGTTGATCGCGCGACCACGCACGCTTGATGGGCAGCGGCAGCTGTTCAAATGCCTAATGTACCGACCAGGCGTGCAACCTTGAAGCTTGATACCGGCGCTTTCAGTGTTTCATTCCTGGTCTCTGCGAGTTGTTCGGTGCAGCATACCTGAGCTGCCGTCTCAATGGCCGGGTTTTGTGTCCACACGGACACGGAGATGCTGGCCTCGAGAGAGGTCACGTGATGAATCCACAGCGGTGGAATATAAAGCACTGGCACCCCCATTCATCAAGCGTGAGCCAGTTGCTCTTAAAGCTCAGCTGACAGGGGCTACCGGCCCTGTTGCACCATTATCAACTCACCATCTCCCGGCCCAACAACGACCTCGAGCGCCTCGGCACGGCGCCGAAAGTTGGGGAATCGCCGTTGTTGATCCTCATAATCACCGTTTAAATCCACCTGCCCACGCACAGTGTGAACCGGACGCAAACAGCGAGCAGGCGGCGGATGGCACCGCATAAGCCTTGGAGCGCACCTGCATAGAGCGTCCAGCTGGATGAAGAATGGGCCACATGTATAGCTGTTGCCAACGTGCTGGTGGATACAGCAGAAAGCGCTTGTGTCCGTGCACTTGAATGAAGAAATTGTGAAAGAGGTCAAAATGGGCGGGCGTCGTGGTGCGTGCTCCTGCGCCCAACCAAGTCGTGGCCAAGCAAGAAGCCCGCAACAACAACAATAACAAGAACCGAAAAAAAAGATGGAAATGCATTTGTGGGTGAGCTAGAGATACAAAAATGGTCACGGTTATCACCCGACCAGGCCACATACCGCTGAACCAAACGCGTGTCTGACGATGGAGATGGTTATCCTCCGGGCTGACACCGGGCTGTACCACCACAAAAGGCTCGACGGGCTGGAACTCGCGGCTGAGCGCGGACGGCAGCTCATGCAAAAAGCAGCTGTGGCTAACGGCTGTGGATTGAGTGGTATCGTTCCAACGCTGGAAAAATTCGGCCGCACTCATGTTGACGCGGGTGTACGCGGTGGGCACGTAGTTCCCCACCAGCGTATTCACACTGCTCATCGGGCTACCATGATTGTAGAAGAACGGCGTGTCCTGATCCGTGGCTGGAACAGATACGGTTTCAGGCAACGACGAGTATGCGTCGAAGGGTGATTAGACAAGGGGCAGCGTGGGTGCACAGAGGGCCCCTCCATCCAGCAGACGATGCTCGGGATCAATCATACCTCGACGCGTGATGATCTTGACGCCTTCGAGTTGATCCATATGCTTGATAATGTGCTCCACCGTCCACAGCTTCATGGCGGGGAGTTGGGTGGCAAACGTGTTTTGAAGGACGAGCGGCTCATCAATCGCTGCAACCTGCCCCGGTTCGTTGGTGGCACTCCCGTGAGTGCTACCTCTTGCAGCAATACCATACCTGCAAGCAACAAGAAACGAATACATGACGCTTGCACCCACCTGCTCGGCAAAATAATGGTGGAGTTCAGGACGCCATTGTAAGCGGTGTGGGTGTGCCTCGTAGGCCGCACAGGGCAGAAGCTGATCATACACTGGCTGCGCATCAAGAAAGTCGGGGCAAGTTCATGGCATCAGAAGACTAGAATAGAAACCATCCCACGCCTGTTCAGTCTGGTAAGCAGAAGCGAGGGCTGACCATGATATCAATGCCTGCACCCCCGTAATGACGCTCCCCGCGCAATCCACTGTCAAGGAGCGTGAACTTGTTAAAAACCATCAAGCGCTGAAAGCTCGAACAAAGGCTGTATCTATGGCACCTACTCGTCCCATTCGACAGCAAAGAGGCCCTCGCCTGCCAGTGCCTTGACAGTCCCGAGGCGCTCGTGCTCAGCACGTAGGCAGCGCACGCGGTCACCTGAGCACATATTGATACCACTGGTCAGCTTGCTGCCCCATGCCTTGCCCTTCGTTCCCAAGTGTGGCGGTCTACACTACGCACCAATAGCCAGCGGATTGCCTGCGGTAAACGTTGAGGCGTTGAGAACAATGGGTTCACCAAGCTGTGGGGTGCGGGACGTCGGGTCCGCGCGCTCTTTTGCCTGCGCGTCAAGTTCATCGGGCCCTGGCTCGTCTACACGCATCGATCAGTCGGATTGATGGTTGAGGTTGCGCAGGCACGGTCGGACCTGGGGCTAGTGCAGGTGCGTGACATACAGTGAGCGTGAAAACCAATAATGTCCGAGGTCGTTTGGAGTGAGCGAATGAGCTCCACGCGCTGGCGAAATTGCTCCGAGGGAGGCATTACGCCAGCGTGACTCGCGCGCCGGTGCTGCTCCTCTTCTGGCAAAGGATCACCCCCAGACCGTTCCCAGTCTACAAAGGCTTTCGAGTAAGTTGGAGGCAGATACAGCACCATCCTGCGGCGAGCTAACAATCAAATCGGCCCAAGACGTCAACGCTTTGCTCACCCGTATCCAGGTACTCATAGGCATGGATCGAGGCCTGGGACATGAACGAAACAGCCATCAAGGCGCACGCAAGGCACCCGACCATGCTTGATGGACCCGCCATCTCCCACGGCCTTTCACCTACAGCACGCAACGCCTCTTGGATGAGCCCCATGGACCTACACTTTCCAAGTCTACCCCCAAACCCCCCCCCCCCCCCCTCCCCTCCTCCCGCCCCTTCAGCACACATTCACTCACTCACTCACGCTCACTCGCGCTCACTCGCACAGAGAGAAAGAGAAAATTGAGGCTTCTCTCTCTCTTTTTTTTTTTTTTTTTTTTTTTTTTTAACACACACAACACACACAAAACCAAAAAAAAGAAAGAGATGCTCGAAAGACAAAAATAAATTCGGCATTTTACATCGAATGAGTGAGTGTGTGTGTGTGTGTGTGTGTGTGTGTGTGTGTGTGTGTGTGTGTGTGTGTGTGTGTGTGTGTGTGTGACAAGGCGCGGGGGGATCGGGGTGGTCATGCGCTGACTCGGACTGGACCGCCAAGCATCATGGCTCATGTTATTTTGAGGTGTCATCTGACTCACAGCTTTTGTTAGTTAGGAGAGCGAGAGGGCACATCCGAGATGTGCATGGCCTGAGCCTTTGCCTGCGCCCCTTTTTGCCGCACCAACCCCATGTGGCCGGTGATACGCCTCCAGCAGGCGCCCTCCCTGTCGCTGGTTCGGATGAGTGTGGTCAGGCAACAATGGCGGGCCGCCAGCCAAGGCCTCGAGCCGCTGGCTCGGGCCTATGAACCCGCACACGTGGAACCTGCTGCACGCGAAGTTGAAGCTGGACGCTCCTTTGCTCCCGAAAATGCCCCCATCAGGCAGCCCCTTGCCGGGAGCCGCATGGTGAGCCAACGCGTGCACGTGACAGACTTTGGCTCTTTGCTAAAATCTGATTTTTCTACACCTCCTCTCACCCCACCTGTCTGCCCGCCGCTTCTGGTTACCCCAATGACCGTGGTCTTCTTCCTTAGCCTTCACGCCCGAGCGAGCCGTTTGTCATGATGCTGCCACCCCCCAACGTTACGGGCACGCTTCATTTGGGTCATGCTTTGACAATTGCTGTGCAGGATGCCCTTGCCCGCTGGCATCGCATGCTCGGCCACGAAGTAAGGCGACACCTTTCTCACCACTTCCCATGTGGTGTTGCTGCTGTGGCCTTTGCCATCCTCAAAATCCCATTCTGGGCGAGTGTGTGCCATCATTCTCACATCTGCCCACTTCTACCGGGCCCATGCAGGTGCTTTGGCTCCCAGGTGCTGACCATGCTGGCATTGCTACCCAGACTGTCGTTGAAAAGCACCTTTGGAAAACTCAAGAGGTTGGTTTGGCTCAGAAAGGCCTGAGGCTGCTGTCCCCATCCTTTGCTCAACGGCCCCAAGAAGCACCCCCACTCATGTCAACCCATTCTGACGCAGACCACCCGCCACCAGCTTGGGCGTGACGCTTTTATCCAAGAGGTCTTCAAGTGGAGAGATGAAAAGGCTGGCCGGATATTTCACCAGGTATGCCGTCCCAAGTGTAGAGAGAGCGTGGCGGGAAAGGAGGCCCACTTTTAATTGACCCATTGCCCAGCTGCGCCCAACACGCCCAGCACCTTTCTCAAGAATTCACCCGCTGTACCTTGAGCTGCACCACTCCTCATGACTCCGCGCTTCACCGTGATGGCCTCTGCAGATGCGCATGCTCGGTGCATCGCTCGATTGGTCTCGAGAAGTGTTTACCATGGACCAACGTTTCACCAAGGCCGTGCGCTCCGCTTTTATTCGCTTGCACCGCCAAGGTCTTATTTATCGAGCGCACCGCATTGTCAATTGGTCTCCTGCACTGCAATCAGCCATCTCTGATATCGAGGTAGACATGCACAGCGTAACTGGACCTGCACGATTAAACGTTCCTCGACAAGATCGCCAGGGTCGCCCGCTTTCCGTCGACGTGGGTCGCATGTATGCCATTCGAATGGACCTTTGTGATGGATCGGGCGCCGTGACTGTCCAAACCACACGCCCGGAAACATTGCCAGGCGATGTAGCCGTGGCCGTAAATCCAGATGACACCCGCTACCGTCATTTGATTGGCCGCCGCATTCAACATCCCGTGTCTGGCGCCGAGCTCCCAATCGTCGGTGACGCCAGCGTGGATGCCGACTTTGGATCGGGCGTTGTCAAGATCACTCCCGCCCACGACGAGTTTGACTTTGAGCTGGCCCAGCGACATCAGTTGCCTGCACCTCGTGTCATTGACTGGAACGGCACCATGCGATCTGGTCAGGCTCTTGATTTCCTGTGACGTCGTGCTTGACCCCGGTCGCAAACAAAGCGTCTGCAACATTCGACGCGTCAAGTCCGTGCATTCTGTTCTGACTTTTGTTTATCATCACCCCGATGCCGTACGTTTCTCTTCTTCTCTTCTTCTTTAGTATCAGGCGTGCCGATCGATTTGCAAGGCATGGATCGTCTCGAGGCTCGTGCCGCCATTGTACAGCAGCTCACGGATTCGGGCCACCTGGAGAACGTGTTTGACCATGCCATGGTTAGGAAGTGATGATGGCGCCACTCTCCTGGCGGGGTCGGCAGCGTTAAAAACGGTCCTCTTTTCCTCGGCTCGCAACACTCACCCGAACAACATTGTGGCAAATTCGTTGACCAGGCGGTGCCCATCTGCTCGCGCAGTGGCGATGTCGTCGAGCCCATGCTCTGCCCACAATGGTACATGGACTGCTCTGATCTGGCACAGGTTTGCTTTCCTTTTTTTTTTTTTTTTTTTTTTTTTTTTTTTTTTTTTGGTTGCCCGCTGATAAGAAAGGATATAACTCGGCCCTTGATAGATTCACCATGTGGCAAACAGCTCATTGAACCCCATCTGCCAATAGCGCGCGCTGGAACGAGTGGAGAATGGGCACTTGAGCATTGAACCGGCTCTTCACGCCAAAGAATGGCAACGGTGGCTTGGTGAAATTAAGCCATGGTGCCTGTCGAGGCAACTCTGGTGGGGGCATCAGATTCCGGCCTTTGGCTTCACCGCACCTTGCGGAAAGCAGGAATATGTTGTTGCCGATGATGAGGGCACAGCTCGCGATGAGGTGCTGCAACAATATGGCGCTGATTTTGCAGCTTCCGTCACGCTCACGCCAGAGGAAGACGTCCTAGACACGTGGTTTTCGTCGGGCCTCTACCCCTTTGCCGCCCTTGGCTGGCCCGAGTCTACACCAGACTTTGCCAAGTTCTTCCCAAACACTCTCCTGGAAACGGGCTCCGACATTCTTTTTTTCTGGGTAGCTCGCATGGTCATGCTCTCCCTCGCTCTCACGGACCAAGTGCCTTTTCGCCAAGTAAGCGAGGCGCTTCAGCCCCAGCGTGCATAGCCCAATGGCCTGAAATGCCAAGCCTCCTCCGGTCACAAGCGGGCTTTCAATTATTACACGCTTTTGCTCGGCTTTGCTCATCACTTCTTTACCCGATTGCTTTTCCTTCATGATCTGCTTGTATGAACCTAGGTACTCCTGCACCCGCTGGTGCGCGATGGCCAGGGCCGCAAGATGAGCAAGTCGGTCGGCAACGTCATTGATCCCTTGGATGTCATACATGGCAAGCCGTTGAATGACATGCTGGCCGAGAATCCAGAGAATCTGGACAAAGCTGCTTTAGCTGCCCGTGAAAAGCACATGCGCCGCAATTTTCCCAAGGGCATCCCAGAGTGTGGTGCAGATGCCCTTCGCCTGACACTCCTCAACCAGCTAAATCGTGGTAGGCCCCCTACCGCCAGCTCAGCCGACCCTTTCTTGTGTCGTCTGATTCATTCTCATTCCTGACACGATGGATTTTGTGAATCAGGTCAAGCTTGCAATGTTGATGTCCCAGCCCTGCAAGCGACACGCAAGTATTGCAACAAGCTGTGGCAGGCGGCCCGCTTTGTGCAGGGTTTCAGCGATCCAGAAGCCGAACAGCCCGCTGTTCTGCCATGTCCGTTAAGCTGGGTGCCTGCCGTGTTGCCCGCAAACAAATTGGGCAAAGATATCCAAAACAAGGGTACATACTTGCGCGTGGCTCAATCTTGGGTGCAGTGGCTACAACCTTAGGTCAAGCGGCATCATACGTACAGCACGCGGTGCCAGAAACGCAGCAGAGCCTGTTGTCGCGCTGGCTTTTGCTCCGCCTGACGGAGACGCGTGACAAATATGCCGCCGCTCTTGAGTCATTTGCCTTCCGTGAAGCCACGGAAACGTTACAGCGTTTTGTTCAAGCGGATTTATGTGACACCTACCTGGAGTACATGAAGCTGCACAAGACGGTTGGTGCAGGGGAAGCGAAACAAGCCAGCTCAAGTTGACCAAAGGCTTTCCCCTCTGCGTACACGTGTGTCTTGCTCATGTGGTGTCGCTTCTTGATGTCGACCCGCCAGATAACACCCGAGTTGGCCGCCTTTCGGGAACAGGATCATGCATGTATGGTCCTGGCCTTGCGCACAATACTGGCCTTGTATTACCCCCTGGCCCCATATATCAGCGAGCACATTTATACACGCCTACCCCGGTGAGATGCCCAGGGCTTTGAGCGGCCCATTCATTCGCGCCTCAACCGTGCCTTGTCATTATTATAAATCTTGTTTTTTCGCTTGTTTTGGGGGGTCTTATCTCTTGTACACACCACACTCGTCAAAGTCTCAATCTCTCACCGAACCTTTGCAGGCATGCGGAGGATCCTCTCTCACTATCCGAAGTTCTGGTGGATCGGGCAGCATCATATGGTCGAACGGTGCCGGCTGAACTGGACCGTGTCCTCGAGGCGGCTCGCGCCTTGCGTCAATCCTCCTTTGTTGCCGATGCTCGTGGTGATCGCGCGTCTCGCGTATGTGGCTGTGCGCACATGGGCATTGCAAAATCTCTGATGACTCCCGCTTTGGTCATCCGACCAAGATCGCGGCCTCATCGCAATAATAGTCTCACTTGTGCATCGGCATGTGCTGTTGTGAATGATTATAGCCCGTAGGCATTGTCGCCGTGAGCAGCGCGGCCGAGCGAAAAACGGAGCTACAACATATACTCAAGTCTGTTGTCACAGTGTTCGCCTTTCTCAAGATTGGTCTGACTGGGATCAGTTTCAGCCAATGCCAATGTTTACACCAAAGCTTACCGACGTATATCTCCTTGCACTGCAATCCGCGTTTTCAGAGCCGTGTGTCCTATCAGCGATGCTGTTGTCGTTGATCCCGCAAGCCTGAAGGAGACTATCCGGTCCTATGAGACGCAGCCGGGGCTCGTCGTGCGCACCAGCGTGCGTCCACCGACATCCGAGGTCTGCTTTGCAGCTGCCCATCTTCATCTGGCCTTGACTTGCAAGCACCCGACGTTTGTCTGTTTGTCATTGATTGTGGGAAAACGCTGCGGAAATTTCCACAGGTTTTCGTGTATGTGCAGCAACAGCCCAGCGTGGCGGAGCTGCAACAGTCTCTTCAGCAGTACGAGAAACGCATGGTAAGACCTCCCTGCCTCATGCTGAGCAGCTCAAAGCACCGCTACTCATGCTCGAATTGATTTTGTGTGCTCAGGCAAATGTGCAGAAGAGCCACGGTGTGCTAACAGCGCAGCTTGCCAACCCCGACTACCTGGCGCGTTGTGACGCTGAGGTATGAGTGTGCTCCTCGAGGTGTCGATTGTGAATTTTCATGCCGCTCTATTCTTCCTTTGGCCCTTTCTTGTCAAATGTGGCACTTTTTGGATCATGATGTTCAAGTCGAGAGTTGACTGTCTGGCGAACCCTTGATTTGCTGCCACCCTTGCCCGTTCTAGATTGTGGCTGCGACGCGACAGCAGGCCAAGCAGGAAACCGAGGCCTTGGACATGTTAATGGCCACGGTGGAAACTTATCGAACTTTGCTGAGCAGCTCAAGCAACCGAGCAGATTGAGCTTGTGTTGCAGTATGGGAGGTGTCCCACCCGCCAGGACCGCGGCCAAAATAATTGATAGGGTCATTCTTTCACGACTCTTTGATTGGCGACGCACGAAGAATACCGATTTCAATGCGCACGGAAGCAACCTGGCCACTGAAAAGAGAAGGCGAAAGAAGAAACCGCAATTTAAACAACAAGCACGACGCAATTTTCAACAGCAACCTAAGGGCTCAGCCCCGAAAGCAATGATCTGCTTCCAATCGAGATAGTCTACAGATGTCGCCGGGTCGCCTGAAAGACCTTTTGCTCAAACGCAACGCCAGCGATCGGGGTACCAGGTGCTCGAAGCGGGTTGAGCATGACCTAAATTATACCAGACAGAGCGGCAGCACACGTACGGTCAAAGGTGAATTGTGGCTCAGAGAGGGAACACATGCTAGGAAGACTGGCATCCTGGGTGTGGGCCGGCCAAACGAAGCAGCATCGAGCCAAACCTTGACATAAAGCTCGTGAATCTCTTGCAAAAAGGCCTTGACGCCTTCATCGGAGCGGCTGTCGTACAGAAGCACAATGCGAATCTACAGCACACGTGATTGGAGTTGTGAGACAGCGGCGATTGGCTCAATCTTGCCCTTTGGCCTTCGGTCGCCATGGGTGTTGGGCCAGTCCAGCGTTCCGCGGTCCGGTTTCGGCTCTTACATTGGTCGCAGTGACGCAAGCGGCCACTTGCATGGACCATTCATCAAAGCGGTGGTCTACCTTGATGAACCTAAGCGTGGAATGTTACCGCCACGCGACGGGCGGGCGGTCAAGGCACGACAAAAAAAGGGGGGGCGAGGCGGCCATTCGTAAATCTGTGAGCAGGACTCACGTGCTTGGATTTCGTCCGGCCTCATCATCGATACTGTCAAGCGCAGCAAACGCTACTTGCTGATAAGACAGGACCCGTTCCGCCTGGTCAGGGGAGTTGAGGCAAACAAGGTGCAAGGGGGCCGCGAAGGGATGAGCGTAGAAGCCCGCGCCCATGCTTGACAAGTCAATCCTGCGGAGGTCCGCAAGCAACAAGGCTGCTTGCGGAGCCGATCGGTTGTTCGTACCCTCTTCTCAGGATCCTCATTGGATTCATTCAGAATGCCAAAACTCGACTCATACAGCGGCTTATCATCGGCGCCAATGATGGCCAGGTAGTAGTTGCCGGCGCCCATCGCTCCAGTGAAGTCACACACACATCAAACACACACAGAGAGAAAATGGAAAAAAAAATGAAAGAGCAAAACCTCTGCTTTAAGATTCACATCAGGAATTTACTACATGTAAGAACAACTTTTGCCGCTGCGTTTCGGCGTAGGAGAGGTGATGGCTGCAGTTATGACGCTTGCTATTGGTGTTCAGAATGGATGAGCCTTCATGTTGGGGCATGCGGTGGACACGATGCTCCGCTTTTGGTGTGGATTGTGTGATGAGAGCACGATTCAAATTGATATCCATGCTAACAAGCTAGGGCACATGAATGGCAGCGCACAGCGCCCGCACAAGTACAACGTGCATTTTCTAACGACCTCAGAGCCATGCTGTGCCTCGAAGAGCATGGTCACGGGCACAGCTGGAAAAGAAGCTTGTTTCAGACCTTCTTGTTCTTGGGGGCCGACTGAAGGGCCGCCCTGGGTGTTGAAGCTCCCGAGCCAGCACCCAGAGGATTTTGCCGTTGGTTGGCTTGCTCTGATTCAGCCCGCTCACTAAAGCGCAACAGAAAATACAACTCGGCACCCACGGCCACGACACTACACAAAACACCAAACAAGACGCGCTGGAATGGGTTGACCGGAGCGAGCGGGACAGGCCTGCTCGTGAGCTTGAACGATCAAAGGTAGAGAGTTATACGGCTACTGGCGTGTCAAAAAGGCCTGCGCCAAGGAGTAAACAAACGCAAAACATACCCAGGCGACGTTTGGAAAGGCATATTGTGAGGCGAAAAACCCAAAGAAGAAGCAGGCCACGAGCGTCAGCAGGATGTTAAAGATGACGCCCAGCTGACGGCCAATCTCCTTGACTGCAGGTCACAGCAAGCCAGCCATGGTCGTTCAACGTAAGGAAGGCACAAGAGAATGCTGGGGCATGAATCAGCAAGGTTGACATCCCAGCTCGCTGAATCCAGGCAGCGAGGTGAATTTAGGTGGGATACTCCTCGGGGAGACTGCACATACCTTCCAAGGGACTGCTGGTATAGTCGGCCTGCACGGACATGCATCACATTGGCGTAGAAGGCCGTGATGCCACAAGCGGGATGAGTGCTGATGTCCCGCAGACCCGGTTCAAGAGGTGTGTGGCAAAAAGGGGTCACATACGCTGCTGCCCTCGACGCGGCGCACCATCCGCTGATACTCGCGCTCAGCTACAATGGCCTTGAGACGCTCACGTCGAGCCACGAGATCCGGATGCTGGTGCGCAGGTCATGCGAAGATAAAATACCCCAGGTCCGGTGAGCTGGGATGGATGGATGGCGTGTCCGAGGCTGAGGCTGAGCGGAAACGGAGCCAGCGATAAGTACCGGCTCGGGTGCTTGGTAGCCTTTCTCCACAATCTCCGAGTTGACCATCAATCGATGCAAGTAAACGGGAGGCGATACGCCTGCAAGTGTGGTCAGGCGCCACGCACGGTATGTGCACGTGTTAGAATTGAGAACCAAGGCCATGCTGCCTTGAAGTGGTCAACAAGAGCTTGAGCACACACGCACCTTGCTTTTGAGCTCGCGCCTTGAGGTCGAGGACCTCCGACCACGCCACCGTGTCATCTACCAGTCGCCCCCAAATCAGCCCCAAATCAGCCCCCACTGGCCCGGGTCAAGCAAGGAGAGACAGCCAGCAACCGTGTAACGCCCCCACCTGCAAAGACGGATTGGCATTTGAGCTGGTCGGCGACCTCGCGCATGGCCGGGGTCACCTTGACCATCACCGGAGGAAGGAGCTTGGTCTCCTCCATCTTCTCCGTGTGTGTGTGTGTGTGTGTGTGTGTGTGTGTGTGCAAAAGTGCAGAGTGTGCTCGTATTGTAAACTTGATCCCTGGGAAGTTGAAAAGGTGCTAAAAAGTCTAGGAAATTCGATGGAAATTAGATGACGGCTTGGTGGGCGTCCCGCGTATCCAACTGGCTGCAATACAGGTGAGGTCACCCGGCTGGCTGCCCGATTCTTCTTCGACATGCCCTTCCATCGGTGCAAAGGCGAAGAAGACTGCAAGTCGTGCTTCCATGGTTCGTTCCACGCAAGCACGCGGAAAAAAAAAAAAAAGAGTGCAGGTGATGGGTTAACGCGTCGATGCTCCGGTTGCTGGAGCTTGAGGTTTGAATTGTTTTTCAAGGCGCATCTCAATGCGACTCTTCACCATAGTGCATCGCGACATCCATCTTGATTTCGATTTCAATTGCAAAGCAAAGCAAAGAATGAATCGAACTGCTTGACCCAGCAAGTGGTAGCAGACCCCCATAACTTCCATGTGAATAATAATTATCAAATTGATGTGGCCTCTATTGATGACCAGTCTGACTCCTGAAGTCTTCACCAAAGGTCATCAACGGCCAAGTGCTGACTCTCATTCACCAGGCTGATCGAGCCCGAGAGATCCGAGTCGTCGCCTTCGCTATTTGCTGTTGCAAAGTAGCCCGTAACCGAGACGGCAGAAGCAGCGTTCCCAGACGGGACGCCATACAAGTCCTCGTGTGGTTCCAACTGCAGATCTCGCTGTCCGGCGCCAGACAAACTCGCGGCTGGCCAGCTGCCGTGAGCTTCTGCTGCACCAGCTTGGTCCACATACTCGAGCACAGTAGCTGGCGATGGCGAACGTGGGGTGCTACAGCTGCTTGTGGAGGCTGAGTTCTGGGGGGCGCTCTCATACACACCCAACTCACCGCTCTCCGTGTCACTGACCTATGATCAGGCAAAAAGCACAAGGAGAAAAGAAACGAGAGAAGGTGGGGGGTTCAGTATTTCACTTCAAACAAAAAAGAACACTTGAGAGGGTCCGGCATGGAATTGACTCACCGTCAGGTCAGTGTCGTCAAGGTTTTGCGCCGAGTCATTCCGGTCTGGGCGCCGCCCACCAGGTGCGAGAGCATCTTGAGTACGAGCATGCACAGGAGGCCGCGCCTCAAGCCGCAGGTGCATGCGCCCCAGTGATCGCTGGTAGGCAAGCTCATTGTCGGCAATTGACAACTAGAGGTGGGACGCAGACAAGAATCACGGCCGCGACGGTGACACTTTGAATTGAATCTCATTATCTGACAGTGAATCAACACCGCTCAGGTCGGACACGCAACCCACCTCAAGCTGACGCTTGCGAATACGTGACTGCGCAGTGCGCTGGTCAAAATCCTCGGCCTCCTGCCGCATCTACACATGTCCATCGGTCAGTGCAGGAGAGGTGGAGAAAAATAACTACGGCGGGATACCTGCAACAGCAACGGCCAGCGCCGTCATGGCATAGGCTGGTAGCCCCAGCAGCGTTGCTCGATTCGGAATGAGGCCATTCAAGCTTACCTGAGCGCGAAGCCGACGGGCTCGTTGCTGCAAGCCTCGAGCACGAAGCGAGTGCTCGGCTTCCGCTGTCATTTGCTCGGCCTCACGAGCTTCCAGCCGCGCCAGATTCTATCACGACATGGCGAAGAGCGGCGTCAGGGGCGGCAAAATAGCTTTGCCGAACACATCGAGCCAGCAGCAACGCACAGCTTTGGTCCGCAGCTGAGCAGCCCGTGTCATGCGGCACTCTGGTTCCTGCCCTGCGCGGGCCAGCGCCAAAACGGCTTTGATCTTGGCGTCTTCTGAGGGCAGGCCGGTTGCATCGTGAGGCGCACCATAAACCTGCGTTTGACTCGTTCCTTCCCACAGAAACTGGTCAAGGACACAGAACAGAGTTAACTGACCCGAGCGCGTAGCTGGCTTTGTCTGCGCTTCTTTCTCCTTGCGTCGGGCCTCCGCAATCACATCAGCCTTTGCCCGGGCTGCTGTAAGATGAAATGGCACGGGCCGCGTCGGAGCCTACCAGGATGCGAGGTGAAGAACGCATCATACCGTCACTGCATCAGACTCAATCACCTCCGGTTGATGAGGCAAGCACTTATGGCCCGCACCTTCTTTTGCGTCGAGGCGGGAGTAGTGGGGTGTGCAGGCACTGGATTGACAGGCTCAGACTTTCGGCGCAATGCCTGTCGCTCCGCCCAGACCCAGGCGCGTTCTTCCATGGCTCCTGGGGCTTTGGCTGCCTTGAGCTTTTCTTCGGCCCGGATGCGCAGTCTGTAAGCAGCGTTGCCTGGTATGAGATAGAGCATAGAAACCGAGCAAGTGCCGGGCAAGGCCGTTGCACGGGCACACGAGTCAATCCAAGATGGGTCTGACTTGATTTTTCGATAAAAGTCCTGTTCCTGTAACTGGGCGTATTTGTCCGAGCGAAGAATCTGGCGTGGAGGCGGCGCAGCCTTGAAGTTTGCGTGTTGAGCTTCCCGCTCCTCTCTATGAGACAGTCGATTGAGTTGAGTCAAGGGTGGAGCAGATGCAACGTCCTGCATTGGCAGATGGCAACGAGTACAAGCATACTTGAGACGCTCGTGGCGGGCTTGGGCATGTTGATGAGCCTTTTGCTTCTCGCGCCACGTTTGACGCAATGTCGTAAACTGCCATGGGCAAAGGAATCGAAGATGGGTCAAGCGGAATCACAGTCAAGAATGGTCAAGGGCGCACAGCGCTAAAGATTGAGTTCTTCGATTGCACGACCAACCTTTTCTGCTTGGCGCAAGCGTTGGTCAAGCATATGGGGCATTCGCTCTTGCAATGTTGAGGCTGACAAATGGATTTAGCAGCGGCGAGCCACCGTGAGGGTCACCTTGAGACTCGTCACAATGATGCAGATTGGTTCGTGGCCCACTGACCTGGCATGGTTGTTGGCTGCGGTGCGTTCTGGCATTCAGCTTCACTAGCGGCAGCACGACCCGATTTTTCTTGCATGTAGGCGATCATGCCTTTAGTGATCACTGGAGCCGTGCAGCTGGCCACACGAGGAGGCGGGCGCACGGGTCGAGCCTTGGGTGGTGGCGGGGGTGGTGCCTTTCGCACTTGTTCTGGTGGGAAGTAGTCGTTGGGATCAAAGCCTGCAGCAGAGGTCATATGAACGTGAGAAGCTGCGGCGCACAGGTATGCGCGGGGGCGGAAAAGGAAGGCATGGCAAGAGTGTGACATGGAAGATGGACTAAAAGCGCGGAACGAGAAGAAAGACGCAGACACACGCTACAAACGGGCAGATGGGTGAATCATTTTTCTTGCAAAAGCACGGCCTGTTGCTCACACCAACCTTGCCACATGTTCGCAATGGGGTCCGGGGCTGGAGCACGGGGTCTCACATCCTCGTCCGGGATGCTGAAATGAATGTCAGCCAGACGGTGATGCAGATCAGACGCGCGGGCCAACGGAGCAGTTGGGAGCTCAAAGGGGTAGTCGGGTGCCGTTGCAAAGCCGTCCGGGCGCTGCTGAGCTGCATCCGCATGCATTTCTCGGTGTAGCTCGTAGGCATCCTCAGCAAATGCCTCGCGTCCATCCAAGACTCTCTCCATGATGGCTGTCGTACGCGTCACCTCCTCTCGTGCCTGCACCAACTGCAAGTCGGGTTCAGAACAAGAAGATGAGGACGGGCAAGGGGGGCCGTTCTGCATCAGCGCCCGATTCACGAATCGCCTTTTGTCACTTTTCCATACCTTGGCATAATATTGGCGTTGCTCGTGAGGGAGCGTCTCCAGCAACTCTGCCAGGTCCATGTTGTCATCAGCTTCAACTGCTTCAGGATCGCCTTGACCCGAGCGCTGTGCACCCAAGGGCCCCCGGCGTCCAACATCATATCGATCGCTCCGTCTGGCCTGCCATGGCGGCAAAGGACCCTGTCCCGCCAGCAATCCCGCCATCCTTCCACGTCCGCCTCTTGCCGCCTGCGCTGCCGTCGGCCCTCAAACAAGCCGTCACCCGCTCAGAGCTGGCGTGTAACGGATGTGCGACCGTTGGAAATGGAAAAAATCCGAAATTTTCATGAATTGTCTGACATAACATGCTATTTGGTGTCTCTGCATTCTTCATGTGTTTCACTCTCATCTCTGCTTTCTGCTTCGAATTCGCATCGTTGTGTTACATCTGGCCAACTCTTTCTCTGGATGCAGCAAGCACCACCTCTTCATCTCTCTTCAAATCATCATTGATCAAAGCGTGATATAATTCACACTATCGCTTGAGCAGCACTACCAAATGTACTAATTCTCCCGCGGCCTTAGTGACCCAGTTTTGCCGATCGAATGCCATCAAAGTTCGCACTTCTGTGCTCGACTCAAGCTGCGAAGGAAACGGCACCCAGGGAGCAGCCGCGGCAAGGAGCGGTAGCTTCGGCAAGCATACCGTGTGTCGTTGTGGCTCTGCTTAGCACGCTTTATTTTTCGAACTGGTCGCTTGTAGGACCCTGCAGGGGCCCACGGTTGCTCAGTGCGAGGTGTCAATAGCGAGGTGCCATATTGACCGGCATCAAGCCCGTCCCCCGCAATTGCTACCAGCGACGTTGCAAGCATCTTTGGCGTGACCGCAAACGGCAAACCCGATCTGTCCTGAAGAAGCCCCGGCACACCGAGTTGAAAGCCGACAAAGATCGTGAGCCATGTCGAGTCAACTAGCCGAGGACGTGCGCGAAGAAGAATTCGAGGAGGATGTAGCGGACGAGGCTGAGGGTGAAGAGGAGGACGCGCCCACCAGCGACGCAGGCGCTGCCGATGGCGATCAAGACGAGAAGGAAGAGGATGCAGAGGAAGAGGAAGAAGAGGAAGAAGAGGAAGAGGTATGCTCACGTGAACCCACTCACACAGCCCACGTGCTCCCGTGTCGCATGCATGCTGATCATTCTCTTCCCTGCGTCAGGCTGAGGAAGTGGTGGCTACTCGGGACGATGTGGCTGGCACCTTGGACCTTTTGGGTCGAACAGCCGATGCCCTTGAATTTGCTTTCATTCGTTGCCGTCTGCTTGATCGGTGCGTATGGGCGTGCATGTGTGTCGAAGGGGAAGGGGGTACCGCTTCCTCACGACGCTGCCTGCTTGGATGTTGTCTCGTCATTATGCGTCGTCACAGCGCGGTGACCGACGTGGCCGTACTGGCCGAATTTAAGCATCTTCAAATTCTGGTAAGAAAGTTGCCGTCGGCGCTTTTCAGGGGCTCTCTTCGAGTGCGCCAGCTTGAACTTTATCGCCATAGAGATGATTGACGAGGTCTGTTTGCTTTTTTTCTTGATTACAGGAGCTGAATGGCAACGATCTGACAACTTTGCAGCCCTTGGCGTCACTCAAGTACCTTACCAGTGTCACAGTTCGCAATAATCGTCTCAAGCAGCTGCAGCTAGGCGAGATGAAATATCTGCAACGCCTGGACATCAGTGGTGCGACATGGAATGCTCATCCGCCTGGCCCCGCTCACACCGAAAGCCACCTTGGCTCACATTTATTGTTTCACCCTGACTCTGGCAGGTAATCACATCAAGAACCTGGATGAGCTCAACACACCAAGTTTGCGCTACCTGGATGCGAGTACCAACAGCATCAGGGCGCTGGGATTTGCCACGCAATTGCCTGCCCTCGAACACCTCAACATATCAGAAAACAAGTCGGTTCCTACTCGCACATCACCCACGGCTGGCTAAACTTGTTGAAAGCCCCTTTGGCCTGATGAGATTGTTCGTGTTGGTGCATCGTGACGAGCGAGCACCCGAGCCTCACCCCAGCCACCATCCCACTGTTGCAGGCTGCGGGCATTAGACACCCTTGATCACCCGCGGTTGGCTGAACTCGAGCTGTCCGGGAACGAAGTGGGTAGCCTGCAGTTTCTGGGTGATCTTCCAGCTTTGACCACTCTGAGTGCCATGGGCAGTCATCTCGAGGTGAGTATATCTGCACCCGACGCCTATGTTTGAACCGACGTGTAAATCAGAGTGTGGCTTGTCCGTTCATCTCGTCCGCGTGTTTGTGGTGCTGGTGACGTTCATAGTCCATCGAGCTGGACACGACACTGCCCAACCTGACAACACTGCATCTGGATGACAACAACTTTGCCGACCTGAACATTCTCAAGGAGCTCAGTGTGCTGTCCAGCCTGGCACACCTGTCAATGAGCGGCAACTCGTGCGCGGAGGAGGGCGATTATCGTGTGGAAGCCTTGGTCGCTATCCAGGGCCTCAAGACATTGGACGGCGAGGGTTACGATTCAGAGGATCGCGATGAAGCGCGCAACGTAAGATGTCGGGTTTTTTTCTTGTTGTCACTTGATTCTGTGTCATTTGTGCCAGCCCTCTTTTGAATACGCGATCGTGTTGAGCTGTGACTTGTTTATGCGCATGAATTCTTCTCACATGAACCTTGCACCGCCTGGGCAATTCTTGTAGCTGCGGCAATCACGGCTCGAGCAGGCATAGTGGCAGCCGCAGCAGCTACAGGTACTTGTGCGTGGCCAATGTACCCTCCTCAGGCTTGACGATGGAAGGCAAACAGCAGCTGCGAAGGGCGGATAAGAGAATTGAGAGAACACGCAGTTGTCAGTGAAACGCTTCGTCCACATCTGCGGTGCCCTGCATGATCTGCGGCCCCACATTCACGTGCAATGGGAAAAAAAAACCCCCTGCTCCTTCACTCGAGCCGCGCCAACCCCTCTTCCCGTTGCCCTGAGTTACCAACTTGGTTGTTGTCAAATAATTCATTAAAATGCAGTTCAAGCTCCGCTTCTGTTTTGCCCACCTGCATGGTCAAGCGTCAGCAAAGAAGTCAGACAGAGATAGACATTGGCGAGCAAGTGGGGCGGAAAAAAAAACCCCAAACAGCCGTTTGCCCATCGCTGGCGTACCAAGGGATTGCTCTTGTACGAATCTGGCCGCTGATGCATCTCGCACGTCAAGCCTGGGGTGGTGCGGAGCTCTTGCACGAGTTCCCGGGCACCTTGGCTGCAGAATTGGGCAAGCATATGTCCGGCGCATTGAGCAGATGAGGAAGGATAGGCAGACCAAATGAGCGTGATATCAGGTGCCCCGCCAACCCCTCAAAAAAAAAAAAAGAAAAAAAAAAAAGGTTGCTCGCAATGAGGAACATTAGATGAAGACGAACCGCTTGCCCCCAGAAACATAGTAGAAAGTACCACCAACGGGTAGAAGGGCCCGGATGGTGTTGATAAGCGGCTGGACAAGCGCGTTGTCATAGATCAGGTCACAGCCGAGGAGAACGTCAAACTGTTGGTCGACGGCAACGTCGGGGTCAATGCGATATGTCTCAGGCTTGGTCCAGTCCAAGCAATGAACGGCGGCACGGCTGGCCATGCTATTGTTGTCTCCGTTGCGTTTGACATTGGCCCGCAAGTTTTCAAGCGTAGGCTCAAACACGTCGGTCATCACCACCTGGTGTAGACAAGGGCCAACGTCATGAGAACATAACGTCGAACGAATGCTCAAAAGGCGATCCAAGAGCGACACGCGGCTTCGTGACATACCTGTTTAGCGTCTGAATAAGCCAGGGTGGCTAGCGCAGGGAGACCGCATCCTGCACCCAGCTCACACACCCGCTTGCCATCAAGTTCAGGGGCCAGGTCAACGATCCAGTATGCCATGACCAAGGATGCTGCCCAGATTTGAATGCCCGTCGTGTCATCTTCAGCTCGCTTGTCAAACACCTGTGCAAAAAGAGGCCAGACAATCCAGACCGGAGTGGGGGACACAGGCAGCAGAGGGAGGAGGAAGAGGAAGAAAAGCGTCAGTTGATTAGTTGGTGACATGGTGTGTACACTCTGCGTGGCTTCAAAACAACCCACCTTGCCGAACCAGGAGGTGGCAATCTCGTCAACGTGAAGGGGGGGCGTGTCCGGTTTGAAGCACATGACGTGTTCGTATTTTTGCACCACGTTGGGGTCGACACTCAGTCTCAGTTCCCTCACCACTTGCCCCCTGGACCGCAGCATCCGGTTGACCACCCTTCTTTTCTAGCTGCTTGGCACTGGGGTGCTCAAGAACCATCTGCAAAACATCTTTGTCCTCAACGTTGAAGGCCTCGGACACACAGCTCTTGCCTAAAGCGGCCGCGGGAAGGTGGCGTTGTGAGATCGATCCACGGGATGACTCTACAAAAACGAAAAAGTTATTAACACACCAAAACTGTTGGTGGCCAAGACGTCTACTTGCTCAAACCCATCCAGCAGCAGCCGAACCATGTCCACGGCCTAGCGTTTGGAAAAAATAAAGTAACATTTAGATGACCGGTAAGAACAGGCTTGGTGGAAGAGTTGATATCACGTTGGGTCGGAACGGGGCCTCGGTACGGCCAGAGCGCCGGGCAGGAGGATTAACCTTGTTGGTAATGGCCCAGTGCAGAGGGGTGTTGCCACTATCATTGGCTTTGAAATGGGCGCCGCGCTCCATGAGTGCTTGAACGCAATCCAGATGCCCATTGGCGGCAGCCAGATGCAGGGCTACAATTACAAGACGACACGGGCCCGAGGGGGGGGGGCGCAGCCAAGAGGCGCGGTGAGTGAGCAGGCAAGCTGAGCAGGAGGGCAGTGGAGGTGATGACCATGCTTCTTGAACAGGCTACCAAGCAGCAGGCGCTCTAGATGCAGACGACAAGACGACAGGAAGGGGGTGGGAGTGGGGGGTAAGACCCCCCAAAAAGCCTTTTGCAGGCTGATATCACGAACCAGAGTTGCCAAGGTCGTCAGCAGCATTAACGTCCACGCCATGTTGATCTAGCCAAGCCACCAAGTCCTCAAGTTCACCATAACTAGAGGATAATCACAGCAGGCCACAGTGACAGGTCGTGAGACACATCCAGGACAAGAAGGTTGACAAGCTGACTGCCCATGGTGCTCAAAAGCTGGGTTGAACCTACCGTGCACACAACTGCATCTCGAGCACCGGATCAAGAGGCTCCTCCTCCTCCTGCAGGGGGGCCTGTTCTTCGGGTGCCGCCATTGCTCCAGGCACCTTGTTCTCTTATAACCTTGACCCAACCGTCCACTGAAGCACGTATTATGTCGAACAAACGCCTCACGATCCGCCTTCAAACTATATCGTCGCCTCACGAGTCCAGGGAAAAGGCACACCCAAAAGGAGTCCGAGTACGCGCGCGCGCTCAGCGAGAGCAGAAAAAAAAAAACGCGCTCAATCTCAATCAGCCCATGTGCCAGTCCCCAAAAGTCTGACAATCACATTATGTCAGACGATCCACCTGACGCAACGCCTGACAAACTGCCATCGGCTTTCAAGCCGTTTGCTCAAAGGCCACACCTCGTCAGAAACTTCCGAGTGCGCGAGAACAAAAGAAAAAAAAGTATAAGACAGAGAGAGAGAGAGAGAGAAGAGAGAGAAGCTCATGTGCTCTCATTTTATATTGTTACAGTGAGTAACTAACAAAAGAATGAGAGAGAGAAACGAGAGAGAGAGAGACAGAGACTGAGCGAGGCTTCAAATGGCAGCGCCTGCGAAGCTTCTGCTGCTGCTGCTGCTGCTGCTGCTGGCCTTCTGTTGTATCGAGCTGCCTTTTGCTCTTTGTGCCGTTGCATTTGTCTTGGTGTTTGGGAGATTGGTTGGAACGGGGAGGGGCTCGGCTTGGTCTACTGGCTGCAAGTGAGAGGCGGTTTCTTGCAGCCCGTTCTCGAAACCGCGTACCGTTGGGTCTCTCCGTGATGGGATGGGCTCGTCTTGTTGACGTGCTGGGCTGGGTGGGGCCTTGTTGCATGTCTTGCAAGTCCAGGGAACACGCCACACAGTGTGCATGCTTCATCGGTTCATTTTCAAGCTGCCTCAGACTCACCGCCATTTCAACCAACTCTTCGTTGCATGTGGTGTCTGCTCTTGCTTTACAGTTTGTGCGTTTGACCACCACCATGGCCATGGCGCTGCGCACTCTCCGCTCTGCCTCGATGAAGGTAAGCTTGTGCATGCAGCCCGGCTCGGATTGGAAAAGCACGGCAAGAGCAGTGATGGCGATGGCCCGACCACCTGCTGGAGCTGGATTCATCGGGGCGAGAAACGAAGGAATGGGTTGAGCTTTTTTTGGGAAGGCAAAGGCCCACAACATCTTGCTCGACGTGTGCACCCCATTTGGGGCAGGTGCCGAGCCAGGTTTTCGAGACCAAATGAAAGCCAGACAGCTATCTTTGTAGCTTCTCACCATCATGCTCCTCTGTCCTTGCTTGGAACCGACTCTGCCGGGCGGGCCGGATGCAACGTTAGGCCGTGTCCTTCTCTGCCGTTCGTGCTGCCAGCACTGAGGCCGCAGCCCCCAAGATGAAGTCCTTCTCCATCTACCGCTGGGACCCCGAACGTCCCGGCGATAAGCCCCGCATGCAAGAGTACTCCATCGACATGAACTCGTATGTTGCCTCGCACCAATCCCGCCTTTCTACTCCACCAGCCCCCACCAGTGCCTTTTTAAAAACAATCGGCACTGGCTCGTTCTGCATCAATTGACTTGCCACTGCTGGATCGTGGGCCTCTCATTGGCTTGGTCTCGAATCGAACAGGTGCGGCCCCATGGTTCTGGATGCTTTGATCAAGATCAAGAACGAACAGGACCCGACTCTGACCTTCCGTCGCTCGTGCCGTGAAGGTGTGTCCTAGCCGAGGCCTCACGAGCCCTTGACTTTTTTTACCGCCTTGCCTCATGTTGTCGGTTGCTCCAAATATACAGGCATCTGTGGCTCGTGCTCCATGAACATCGATGGTACCAACACCCTGGCTTGCCTGTGCCGCGTCACCACCGAGTCTTCCTCCGCCATGAAGATCAACCCCTTGCCCCACATGTACGTGGTCAAGGATCTGGTTCCGGTAAGTTAGCTTCGCATGCATGCCAACACTTGAATCATCCAGCCTGCCGTGTGGTATATGGGCAGATTGCGAGCCTTCACGACCCCTTGCTACTCGGTGTCGCATGCGTTTGTGCTTCAGGATATGGCCAACTTTTACCAGCAGTACCAGGCCATTGAGCCCTGGCTGCAGACTGATAAGGCCCCTGAAGACGGACGCGAGTACCTGCAGTCAGTCGAGGACCGCAAGAAGCTGGATGGCATGTATGAGTGCATCCTGTGCGCTTGCTGCAGCACCTCATGCCCCTCCTACTGGTGGAACATGGACCAGTACCTTGGCCCGGCCGCCCTGATGCAGGCCCGCCGCTGGATGGCTGACTCGCGCGACGACCGCGCAAAGGAACGCATGGAGAAGCTTCGCGATCCCTTCTCCATGTACCGCTGCCACACCATCATGAACTGCACCAAGACGTGCCCCAAGCACCTTAACCCCGGCAAGGCCATCGCTGAGATCAAGCGTGACATGCTCTCCATGTAAATGCCCATCGCCGAAGGAAGTGTCTAGCTGTCCTCACCCTGCCTCGCACAAGCGCGCCTGCGGTATTTTCGCCCCTTTGCGTGCTAAGGAGAATGTTTTTTTTGCATGGCACAGACACCACCCGCGTGTTGTCTGCAAAGTGCACCTCAATCTTTTTCTCGTTTGTGCAGCAGTGCTGAGTGCGGCATCGCCTTTCTTTCCTCTTTTTGTTTATGGCAATTGTTTTACCCGGCTTTCTGGCCTTTTTTTGTGTGTCACTTTTCTTTCGTTTTCTCATACACGTTTCCATCTCGATGAAACGGCCCATTCATGGTTGGTGATGTGCTCTTTGCCATCCTTGCCATTGTCCCGGCCCTTCCCTGCATCACTAACTCCTCTCCATGGCGCCTGGATCTGACCTCCCCCCCCCCCCCCCCCCCCCTTTTTTTTTC